TCCGGTGAAATTTCTTGGAAAATCGCACTCGAAAGACAACTGGGAGTAATATAATTTGCGCCATCTTTACGTAATTTCTAGGGTCCATACTCTAATAGATGAACAAAAGCATGACGAGCACTGCTTGGGTTAAAAGGTTATTGAGAAGTAAATACTCACAAGTAGAAATAGGCTGGGAAACAGTCCCTCCAAGGCCCCTAGCCCGCCAGTTCCACCAGTCATCAAGCCAGGAATGTTCTGGAATACTCGTAACACCCTCAGTTGCAGCGATCACGCCTGCTCGTCCGCGGCGCTTGTAAACCGAGCGACGAATATCCTCGCGGTCAGCAAGCAGGAATATCACAACGTAACAAGCTCTTCTAAGAGCGGCATCTGTGGCGTTTTCGGAGCTAATCACAGGGATACCGTATGCGTGTAGGTACTTTTTGTAAAATGGGCTCAGAGGGTATTCACTTCGCACATGTGATGGTACATCCGTCACTTGTTCGCACTCCCATGTAGTCAGCGGTTCACTCTGGAGCAGGCTCTTACCTGATCTGCCTGTGAATCGGCCTTTGAATAGATAACTAATTAATTTTAAGTAAAAATTATGAAATTACACAATCTAAAGTACACGCTGCAAATATTAATAAACCTTAAAATCTATACATTAAGTATTCTAAAAGAGAGCGATAAAATCTAAATTAAATTTTATCCTACCATAAAAATAAATAAATAAAAAACTAACAAGACAAATTCACTATTAATGTTCTAATTAAGGCCTACAGGAGTTGATTTTAGCCTTAAATGACGCGAGGGTCTCACAATTTCGGATCTCCTCTGGTAAATCATTCCATGTCTTGGCTCTATTGTAACGTTGTAACTGTTTTTTCGGAGGAAATCTCTTTTTGGTTGAGGAAGGAAAACCTTTTGTTAGTTGAATTTCTAAGATTATGATTACTATTGATTGCGTGGGCTTCTGTAAGGATATTTGAGTAGAGTTATAGCGATTACAAAAAAACAAAGAAATTTCATCAAGGGCCCAAATTCCAAATTTTGGTGCTTATTGCAGCCAATAGCATTAAAACTAGAAAAAAAATGATCCACTTTTTTTTAACTTGAATCAATCAGTATATATCCTTGCCATTCGTAGCAACAGACAACAGGAAACAGTTTGAATGACCAAGTATAGTCTTAGATAACAAAACTGGACCATTAAGGATTTTTTTGGAATTCAATTGATGCAAAGACATGGCCCTTTTAAACAAAAGGCAAAAATAAAGTAAAACACCGTCAGACTAGGACGCTTTTAACGGGTAGTATTTAATTTTATGTTTTTGCTTTTATTTCTAGAGTCCGTGGTTTTACCTGTTGTTGGTTCAGCTGTTTATTTTTTGCACGATCAGAGTGAGAAAAGTGACAAAATCAGAACTAATAAAGCAAGCCTGTGTGCAGTTAGGGTATACTTTTAGTTTATTGTCATCCTTTACCCAACAGTACCGGGACAGTAGAAACGCCTCTGAAATCCTGAACCATCTGTTTCCCATCAAAAACCATCTGTCTAATTCCACATATTTTCCTGAATCGTACCATCAAAAGAACTTCATAGCAATTTGGTAATCTGAAATTTTCCAAGAGATATCTCCAAAAATGACTTACCGCCTGAATCGCCATGCACTAAGGGAAAACCAACAAATTGACCTTGCTTATATGTTCTATCACAACGCCAATTATTTCAATATGACGGTGTCCCGCTCTTGATCGTACACAAAATAATGAACTTAATATCTTTTAGTTAATTATTATTTGTAGCTACTTTATTTTCCTACCATGTACACTTATGTAAATATCTTGTATAGTGTGAATAAAGAATTGAATTGAATTGAATTGAACGTAAAAGAGACCGGATCCAAAGATCGCAAAATTTTGCGCTATCATTTCCCCCTCTTAAGGAGGGGAAACAACATTTCCGTCATTTCCGTGTTTTGGCTTTAAAAGTGGTGTCAATTTTCTTACCAAGTCCAAAGCCAAATGCTTCAGCTTCCAATCTCATAAACTCTGCAAAGTTTGATGGAGCTGCTGGATCTGAAATTAAAAAGAATAGTATTATTATTTGGGAGGCTATTTAAAGATGCAATCAACTCAAACTGAAATATGTTCCAAATAATAGTTACAACCAGCCCTTATTTTCATGGTTTGAGCGCGATCTGATTGAGCTGAGTGTCAGAGCTTTTGGCAGAGAAAGGATAGGAAACGATTAGAGAACATTTAGATACGAACACTCAAAGAACTATCCCTTCTTCAGTCACAGCTTAGAAGTCTTACGTGTGCGAGACTATCATCGTGTGTTTTTATACTAGCGGTAGAACCAATTGCACAGTAGACTGATAATAGCCCTGTATTTTCTCGCTCTCCCAATCTCCGCCCCTATGATTCCCTTGCGCCTCGCGCTCTCTCGTTTCGCTCACTATTTTTCGCGTCTCTTTTAGTGTTTTTTTAAGAATAAATAGCCTTTAAACATTGGAGTCTAACAACGCCACAGAAAATATTTGGTTTGGGCCGCGTCTCACCAATTCATGCGGTAATTTATGAGCATGTAGCTGACCTTCTCGAGAAAGGGGTAAGAAGTCAAACTGGGGCTCAGAAGTGACAGGCTAATGGCAACAGTAGGGTTTGCTTTTGGCCGTGAGTTTTTAATACAATAAAAAAGACTCTAAAAGTGGCCGTCAACGGTACACGTGTAAGCTAACAAACCCCGGAGTGATTACTAGCGATTCAGGACTTAATATGATCTGGAGGGACCCGAGTACAGCGATGGCGAATCGTGGTGTTTGGGAAGAGATGTCCATGAAAATCTCCCATCCACTCCAGTGGTGAAAGTATGATGATGATGATGATGAATACAGTCCCGATTCTATTGACTGCTAAAAGCTATAAATGTTTCTCCTTGACTCGGAAGTAGGTCAGAAGCCTTGTGATCTTTCAGGAATATAAGAATAATCCATTCTTACTTGATCCATGACAAACACAGCAAAGTAGCAGGATTCTAAGGAAAGGATTCATTCCAGTTAATTCTCTCTGCCCTTTCCTTCAAGGCAGTTGGAAATGTTTAATCGCAGTAGCTCTGATTCTCAATCTATTGACACTGCAAAACTAGTGTTTATCCCACGTTCCGTCTTGTTGTTGTAAAAAGGATAACTAGAGGATAATCTTTCTTTGTGACGCCCTGTCATAATTATCAATACATTGGATCTGATAGTGTGTACGGTTGATTATTCAGCTGTTTTTGCTGCCTTGTAAGCCACGCTTTTGTTTGATTTATTTCTTAGCTCGTGGTTTGTTCAAACAATCTTTGTTTGGCCGGCTGCAATTATGTATCTTTACAGAGTCTCTCTTATTAACCCTTTCACTCCCAGAATTGGCCAAAGTCAAAATTCAGCAAGATTTAAATTTCCAAATTTTCAGTTTGGAAAAGGCAAAAAAAAAAAAAAAAAAACGTACATGTAGCACGTGAACGTTCTGTCAAAGTGGTTTCATTTAAATGGTCACACCATAGGATGTCATCCACAGACTCAAAAGCTAGTACTACATAATAAATAAATGGTATCATGTGAAACTACTGCTAAAAAGGTTTCATTTGAATGGTCACACCAAAGGAGCTCGTCCACACTAAAAGTTAAAGCTATAACGGAATAAGCAGTTGGAACTTAACACTAAATAAATAGTACCATGTGAAAGTACTGCAAGAGAGGTTTCATTTGAATGGTAACACCATAGGATTTCATGCACAGAATCAAAAGTTAGAACTACGTCCTAAATAAATAGTACCATGTGAAAGTACTGCAAGAGAGGTTTCATTTGAATGGTAACACCATAGTATTTCATCCACAGACTCAAAAGTTACAACTTCATACTAAATAAATAGTATTGAAAGTACTGCTGAACAGGTTTCATTTGAATGCTTACACCATAGAACACGGTCCACACAAACTCAAAAGTTAGAACTACTCGCTAAACAAATATATTATACATTGTAATCACTATCTGTCTTCTCATTGGCTAAGAACCTACAGTTAGTTTTGGAAATCAGCGCAACCTACAGATTAGTATAGTTAGTTATCTGCTAGCAGATTACTAGTTGCTCTGATCTGTAGATTACGCGCGCAATGCATGATTTCCAAAAGCAATTTCAAATTGTGTTCCATACGATGCTGTGTTTGTCCTTATTTGCTTCAATGCAATGTATAATAAAACAATTATTATATTCGGTTTTTGCGATATCCGTAATAATCAAGGCCTCGGTAAGTGTTATCAGCCTTGGCTTTCGGCTCGGCTGATAACTCTTACCTCGACCTTGATTCAAAAGAGGTTTCATTTGAATGGTCGCTCCAGAGGATTTCGCCCACAGACTCGAAAGTTAGAGCTTCCTTACAAAAATCCTTCATTCACTATGCCGGTGAGTCAATAAAGAGTTAAGACAGAAAGATGCATTTTAGTTTTATGATGATATCTCACACTACCAGCCCACATAAAATTTCGACCTTTAACATGTTCAACACTGTTGCCGATGACACTAAACTATCACGTTTGGATAAGGGTGCATCTTATCATTCCCGTTTATCTTCATTGGTAAGAAGTAAGTCAAAGTTTTAAGTCCTTTAAAATACAGTTTATTCTTCCGTAAAAACAATTAAAAATTATATTCGTTATTGCAAATTACAAACACTTTGAGGTTACGGCGAGTTTCACTGATCGGCATCTGCTGAACCCGCCGAATAATTAGTAAACAATTGGAAAGAAAATGACATTTCGTATTTTGTTCATCACATCTCCATTATGAATAAAGTACACACGCCTCTTGTAAGGGAATACGGATTCCAGAGTCCGGAAAATTTTTGCTCGTCGAATCTGGAATCCCAAATCCTGAGCTTTGAAATCGGCAATACACCTTGAGGAATCCGAAATCCCACTGACGATTGAAATACGGAATCCAAGTTCCACTGACCAAAAAAAAAAAAAAACAAACTCCTGTCCCTGGAATCCTGTCTTGGATTCCCTTACGAAGGGCGAATATTACGTCTACTTTTTCCTCAGCACACTCTACAGCTCTTTTTGCAGTAAACTGTCATGTATCCCGGATTTCGTCTGCATTCACCTCTCCCCGCCCACGTTGCACACATGACCTGGCGATTTTTGCAGCTGCTGCCACCTACAAATGCAAACATGATTCTTGTTACGTTTCAGCAAGAGCAGCTCGAAAGCTGAAACGAGAGCAAAGAAAAAGAGCAGAGAGGGGAGGGATAGACAAGGAAGAAAGTTTCCCCTTCTCCTCTGCCCGTTTCCCTACCCCCATTATTTCGCCCTCACTCTAACTTTCGCACCATGCAATAACTCGAGCGGAAACGCTTGCTACGCAGGCTAAAAGAGCATTGACAATCTGACAAAATATTTAAAGGGTACGGTCAAGCAATCACAACAATAGGGTCATTTATACGGGGCAAAAATAAAACGCGCCTTACAAAAAGACCGCGTCCTTATAAGATTAAAACTATCGCCTATATATTTTGACTGAAATAATACGCGACCTCGGCCCCTTCTACACGAATCCGAATATTTTCGAAACCGCACAGTTTTTTTACACGAATATCCAGCGGATGAATGAGCGGATTCACTTTTTTCGTGTGGACGGGAGGCAGATTCATGCAAAAAGTATGCGTTTTCAAAAATATTCCTAGAAGGGAAGTAGTCAAGATGCGTATACACTCAAAAAGACAGACTCACCTTGTAAGGGGATAAAGGATGTGAAATGGGGGAGGCTAAGAGACACACCCATTTGTTTGCACGAAGCTTACATTGCAAAAAACTGCACAAAGACGTAGAGATGTCCTAATATGCAAGTATGAATTTGGTGGAGCGTCATTCTATTGCTGATTTACTCGTGACAACACGGCGGCCAAAGTGGTGGTTAAGAACAAAAGCATTTCTCTTCCCTGCGAAGTAAACTCTATTTTCACGTAAATTCTTCGAGAAAAATATTCTATTGTATTGATCCCCAACATGGCCGCCTTGTCACGTTGTTGCAATCCAATAGTGGAGCGGTAAGATTGGTATAAGAACAAATTATTAAGCTTTGATCACATCCCTAACACAATTAGATTTGTCTTCGACATTTCTGTTGCTAGCAGCGAATCCTATCTAGGCTGTGACGTTTCAGTTGGAGACTAACACAATCAGCTTGGGAAAATAAATCACTGTCCGGCAAATACCGGCAATTCATGAGAATTTTGTTTAACTGAAAAGGCTGACGTATCATAGGAATTTTCCTAAACAGTATGCTAGAATGATGAATTCAAAATCCACGACTGCCTGTTGCACCACTGAGCTACAACCAAGTGGCCGCCAACAAGCAACAGAAAGATAAAGAATTATATAGTCTCATCATATATCATTTCCTTTCAGTTTTCACCACTTACAGTTTTTGCAGCTTTTCTTGCAATTGAGTAACATATAGCCAGAGTTCCTCTGGCATTCTCCTATTCGTGCCCAGTAAGAACATGATCGGTGGTTATCTCTGCAGTTAACTAAAAGTAGCAATTGAAAGAAAAAAGATCAAGATCAGGTACGATTCTATATGCGACCTTACTTTTCTACTGCTCACTAGAGATAGCCAATACCTTAATCGCACTTTTTTAAAGCTCGGTTTCTTCACTTCACCATTAAATTCCCAAGCTTTGGTGTTGAGGGTGAGAAAATTCCTTCGATTCCTATTAACTTTTGCAGTGGTAGGATAATGTCTCTGACCAGCACAAGCAACATAACACAATGAACATCTTACACACAAAAGGGTAGAGTGACAGCATTTATCTCATCTCTCAGTTAACATAAAACGTTTTCGAGTGAATTTAAAGACAATATAAATACTCGACTATCGTAAAAGAGGACACAGATCAATGAGTTTTGCTTGTCCAGGTTACGTATGACTCAATCAAGAAGTTCATTATTCGATTTATACTTAACTCGTGCTTCGCAAACAAATATAGCGGCAACTCGAAACAATTTTAACACATACACCACATGTTTGACTGCACTGCTCACCGTTTAGGCCATTTTTGAATACATCGTTTAATATTTTCTAAACAAAAAATTCTAATGATCCGGACTTTTAATCTGATATTGGATTTAAGTAAAGAAACGCCCCCAAAGTGTCTGGTTTTTAAATTTCCTGCACGGAGCTATATATCGTGGATTTGTAGAACTGAGCATGTACCATTAACGCGGATAAATCCGCCTCTTCCTACATCACCCATTAAATTAGCTCAATTGATTAAACCTTCTAAGCTCACCTGGTGGTCTTTGGGTTTGAGGCTTTGGTGTCCGAGGAGTACTTGGATGGGGCGGGGTATTAGGAGGAGGAGGGGTGTTTGGAGGGGGTGGGGTCTTGGGAGGTGGAGGGGTATTCGGAGGTGGTGGGGTGTTTGGAGGGGGTGGGGTATTGGGGGGTGGAGGGGTATTTGGAGGGGGTGGAGTATTGGGAGGTGTTGGCTTTGTTCCCACTGGACGCTTAGTTTTGAAGTCCATCAAGATGCCATTACCATCTGTCAACACGGAAGGGGAAAAATAAATTATTTTATATACGTTTGTCGACATATTCACATTCAGAGAACAAGATCAAGTTGAAACGTGAAAAATCGAAACTTTCGACGAATCGTCTAACATAAAAATTACGTAATGAGAGAATCCTTGCTATTCATAATATATAAGACTCCACAGAATCAAGCGCGCAGTCTTAAAATGGATTACATATTGTTTGTTGAAGTAGAAAGGAAAATTCTTCAGAGGTCCTTTTACAGCGAAATCCGTTGTATCGCGCTGCGGTTTTTCTGTTCCGTCAATCATTTTAGTGAAGGCGGGGTTAATGCAAATCACTAGACTGCTCAAGAATAGCGAAGGAAATCGCAATGGTGGGTGGATTTTTTGTCGAAGGACGGAGGCAGACGTTGCTTTATTCTCGCAAATAACAAGACTGAGAAAGATCAGAAAAATCTGCGAAGCAAACTTAACTAGTCGATTATTATTGCCCGAAACAGAACGATCACAAGGCAACAAACCTTGAAAACGGAAACAAACAAAACGGATCGAAACCCATCAATCTCGAATCACAAACCATGACCTTTCCAACTCGTTTAAGTAAACATGTTTCCTAGGAGGTCCGCTAAGATGATTGACAGAACAGAAAAACCCAAAATTTGCAAAACGCACAGCGCGATACAACGAATTTCGCTGTAATAGCAAGTTGAAGAAAGAGACGAGATATACTTACTACTGTCACAGTTCATTTTAAAGTTGTGAGGCTTTACACCTGAAGACATAGAACAAAATAAAGGTGTTATTTATACGTGACGCATCTAAAACAATGACGGAAAGCGAGTAGTACATTAGTCTCCCTAGCAGCCGCTTTTTGGATGTCACGCAGCCCTCTTCCAGAGCGGGAGATGGAGTGCGTTGCGTGACATCCAAAAAACGGCTGTGAGGGAGATTATTAGTACATAGCCTACGTCGCAGAAGTAATTTTTTTTAATCCCAGTTAGTAACGTCTGCGGAACAGCGCTGCAATCTTTGTTTTGGCCCCTAACGGACTCAACTAATTACCGGGAGTGCTTTTCCATTTTAACCTTATTGGCCAATCGAAAAATGGCTTGTTTTACAGGCTAATAAGGGATTGCCCTCAAATCCTGGTACACAGCTGGGAACCCAGAACACCAATTTCAGCGCTGCAGGTTCGCAGACGAGCTTAACGAGAGGACGGTCTGGTTTTGTCTGTTGAGCAGACTGATAGATAATAATCTGGATATAAAAGAAAAGAAGAGGGACGGTGAGAGATTTTTGTTGATTTCGTTTATCACATATTCGTACCCCACTATTTGGTCTAATGTTTGCTTTTGGGCGAAAATGTAATAAAAAGTAGCTAGTCTTTTAATTGTTCCTTTTTCATTTTTCGATATTCAAATTAAAGTTCTTCGAGATTTCACAACCAAGAATTAAAATATTCTTTATACCGAATTAGAGATAATAAGCTGCCGCCAGCAATTGTACGTGACTTGGGTAGACACATGTAGGCTAGCCTCGCATTAAGTCAGAGAGTAAGGCGTACATTTGCGGACAAAAATAATTGAAAATAAAATACAATTTGAAGTTCAAAAATTAGACTATCCATGTCGAAATCTCGTCATATAAATTTGAAATCGCAATGAACGCAGTCGAAATAGCATCATTTGAACTTGAAGTTACTACTTTGAACAAGTTGAAACTATAAAGGGAAAACTCGACATCGCGGATGTTGAAGTTCAAATCACCATTTCAACTAAAATGTAAATTACATGATTTGAACTTCAATTTACCTTCTCCACTCTAATAAGCTACTTAATCGTCAACAATGCAACCATAATCTCCCACAAAATTCCAAATGAAACCTTTAATTTGAACTTAAAGTCACGTCACATATTCGAATTCGAAAAACCAAAATTTCAATTCGAAAGGAAGCGGAAGTAAAAATATACAGGAACCGGAAATGATAAGAGTTTCGCTACACTTTACATACGGGATGTTTGTATAACTGCATTTTGGCGCGAAAAGATTTTCCCTTCACTCGAATAAGGGTGACTCAAGGACAATCCAAGAGATTGTGAGGGGCTGTCGTGGCAAACTTAAGAGTGGTTTTCTGTAAAATTTGAACTTCGGCCTGACACGGTACCTCGTCGATTTGGCTGATTTTTGGCATGTAGTCTTAGAATGGTTTCCTAAATACTGAATGCATATGCTAAGGTTTGAATTCTCTTTGGTTCCAAACATACAAGAATGACAGTTTTGACAAGGCCTCGAGGGGCCGCCATGTTGGTGAACTGAAGGACGTTTACGATAATTAATTCTAGCTTTATCATTAAAATAACGTAATCGTGACTCATACAGTGGCAAAGAATTATGCTTCCTCCTTTCATTTACCTACTTTTATCCGAAAATAGTTTAGCCATTATAACGGTTATAACTTCTCACAGCACTTTTACGGTACTTAAAAGGTGCACAAATTTTGTAGAAATAGGAAGGCCAGTATCACCCATGCCACATCGATTTAGAGTAAGCCATTTTCACTAAACATAGTTTTTTTATAGATAAGTTAGATTGTTGAATAAAATAATTGGGCAAATGTAACGGAGCAGACCTACAATTGCTTGATTTGAACAGATAAAGCTAGAATTGTCCGCCATATTGACCAGAGAGTTCGATTTCGCGCCAAAATGCAGTTATGCAAACATCCTGTATGTACAGTGTAGCGAAACTCTTATCATTTCCGGTTCCTGTGTATTTTTACTTCCGCTTCCTTTCGAATTGAAATTTTGGTTTTTCGAATTCGAATATGTGACGTGACTTTAAGTTCAAATTAAAGGTTTCATTTGGAATTTTGTGGGAGATTATGGTTGCATTGTTGACGATTAAGTAGCTTATTAGAGTGGAGAAGGTAAATTGAAGTTCAAATCATGTAATTTGCATTTTAGTTGGAATGGTGATTTGAACTTAACATCCCCGATGTCGACTTTTCCCTTTATAGTTTCAACTTGTTCAAAGTAGTAACTTCAAGTTCGAATGATGCTATTTCGACTGCGTTCATTGCGATTTCAAATTCATATGACGAGATTTCGACATGGATAGTCTAACTTTTGAACTTCAAATTGTATTATATTTTCAATTATTTTCGTCCGTAAATGTACGCCATAAGAGAGAGAGAGAGAAAATAAAATAAAGAAAATCAAGCAAACAAAAAGATTTATAAGAGACTGACGTACCCGCCCTCGCGTCACATCGCTTCAGAAATTTATTTTGGCAGGGGAATATTTCCTTTAAGAATCCATACAGAACAGGATCGTAAGACTTCAATTCCGATCTAGTATTGACGTGGTTGTGGATGCCATTCGGCGGGTTCTGTTCGTCGTTGCAGTTGAAGTAACTCTGAGCTCCTTCAGCGAGATACTCCCTGTCAGTTGACATGGCGTATGTATTCCTCCATCGATAGCCGGTTCTTTTAAGGTAGTTGTATCGCTGGCGCAACCTCCCATCGAAGTTTGGAATTGCATAGACGACACCAAGGTTGTGGAGTCCGTGGACAAATTCATGAAGGAAGATGTCTTCCCTTGGGTACCGATCTTGGCCGTTTTTGTAGCAAAGGATATTTTCTTCTCCACCTGAAAGTAAGAGAAACTTGGTGTACTTTTACTTCCTCGGAGGAGCAGTTAATTGAGCCGAAGCGAGTATGTGGAAATTACCAGGAACTTTCCAGCCGGAAGCCAAATGATTAGATCAAAATGTAAAGAATACGGTAGTGTTTTTTTTAGCCCTCTAACCAGTTTTTTTTTCTTGTTCTGTTAACTTAGACTTTCTCTGGACCATCAAAACACCAATCTTAACGCCACATGCCCAAAACAGCACGGGTACTTGCTCAAGGAAATGAAAAAGACAATACTTGCGCCATCCTAATTTACCTTAATGACCAAAGTCAGAATTCAACAAAAATTCTAAATTTCATGTTGTAAAATATTTAAAAACAAATATTACGAATGGTCGCAGCACTAGATTTCACCACCTTTCAAGTCTCCATCGTTCGCTCGAGGATTGAAAGAACAAAATGTTGTGCTATTGAATGGAAAGAATCATAATCCATTGAACAAAAGAATACAACCAATTGCATTTTAGTATATTAAAAAGGGTTGATAAGGGCTGATAAGAAAGGCATAGCCTTTACGTATACTCACATGTAGAAATAGGATGTGTTACAGTAGCTCCTAGACCCCTCGCTCTCTGGTTCCACCAGCTTTGGAGCCAGGAATGTTCTGGAATACTCGTAACACCCTCGGTGACGGCGATCACGCCTGCTCGTCCACGACGTTTATAAAACGAGCGGCGAATATCCTGGCGATCTGCGAACAGGAACACTACCACGTAACAAGCTCTACGGAGAGCTGCATCTGTGGCTCTTTGGGAACTAATCACAGGGATACCGTATGCGTGAAGATACTTCCTGTAAAATGTGCTCAGGCGGTATCCATTCCGAACATGTGATGGTACATTCGTCACTTTTTCACACTCCCATGTGGTCAGCGGTTCACTTTGAAGAAAGTTCTGTGATTGACCTGAAAATAGCGATATATCGACCCTTGATAACGCAATAAATAATGAATTATTAAGAAATCGGTAAGTGCTGGGGCAGCCAGTGGATTTGACCCTCCCAGAATCTCAGGTGTTGCGAGAGAATTAGTGCTGGCTGGGAACGTTTATTTTTAATTGCTTTTGGAAAGAAAATTTCTTATGGGACGAACTGTACAAAAATATTGATCGCGCATCCCCCAGCCATGGCTGAGACAAGATCGAATCTAATTATCCAGGGGAAATCTAAGTTAAAAGATTGATTATTTTCAAGTTTTAGTTGTTGTTGTTGTTGCCTTTTTTTTCTCTTATTTATTTATCTTTTAGCTGGCAAACTGAGCCAGTGTTTTTTTTTTTGGATGATGCTGGGAGTGAGAAACAAACAATTTTTCCCGGCTTCCCATAAAACCAACTTAAAATGGCTCTCAGGAGCATAGTTTATGCTTTATTATGGTTATTAAACCTTATTTATCTTCAAATATCCTCGTTGGGTGTCTCCGACACCAAAGTCAGTCGAGTGTGAATCTTCGTCCACCATTTTGAATTTCTGACCTAGCAGCCCGGCTCCTTTTATCTTGCGCCCATGATCTGCCCCAGGGGGGAGAGGATTTTACTCTTTTCTTACAGGAAATTCATAAACTGCCTACTAAAACATTGTAAAATATGGAAGAAAGGCCAAATTAAGCACTAAAAGCTGCTCCAATATCTCAGAATTAAAACATAACTAGAGAAATTACTCAGAATGCAAAAAGTTGCTCGAATTACGAGAAGTTGCCAAAAAGTTGCCGAGCAACTTCTGGAAAGCCCTAGGAGAGGTCGTGTACAGCCATTGAAGCAGCGAAAGGACAGATTCAAGTTTCACACAACATCAACATTCACTTAAATATCAAAGAAGGTAAAAGGCCAACCTTGTTGCCAGGTTCTGTTCTACTCCTCCCTACTTGTTAGAAAGGCCAGCGCCAACAAACTGACTACTGCTACTAACCATCTTTGTATGTCACCCCAACTCCCTCCCCGCCTCCCAATGACCCCTGCAGTACCATTACAACTTAAACAATTTAGTCCTTTTTGGTTAGTTAGTTTTCCAATTTGCCGCTATAAAAAAGTGTACTTCTTCGAAGAATTCAATTTTCATCCCCCCGCCCGTCCCCTCTCACAGCTCTCACCGCTCTAGTCTCGGAGGTGCTCCCCTATGAAAGGGGCAAGAATGCTCGTCGGAAATTTTGAATTAAACCACTAAAGGAGACCAATCTGGGTGTGGCCCAACCCTTTTTTGACCCCTAAAAGAGACTATTTTAAACTTTCATTTCATGAATCGAGTAAATTCATAAAACGAACTGAAAAAGTATATATATTTAATATTTCTTCGCGCGCAACCCTCAAAGAGACCTTTACTGCTAAATATAATGGCGTTTTGCCGAGAACATCCTAAGAGAGACCAAAATCCGAAATTTACACCCCTAAAAAGCGAGACGACTAGCATCCCCCCCCGGTTCCTTTCATATGGGATTCCCCCGGGGCTCTAGTACGCTTGCAGGAAAACACGCTCCTTGGGGTTTTATTTTTCCGCGCTCGCTTAGCCTGTGCCAGGCTCTCAGATAGTATAGTGGGGACGTATTAAAACGAGCAAAGCGAACATAAGACGTGCGCGACATGGGAAATGGGGCGGTGGTGGCGAGAGCTCCCTCACGTTTTTCGCGTTTCTTTTAACTGAACGACGTTTCACCACTATCTTGGAGCCTGGAACCCCGGGCCTGGAACAGGCTAGCGCTCGCTTGACGAGGATGAAGACCTCTCGAGGCGGAGAAATTGATAGAAGGTTCTTGTCAAAGCATTTTCCCGCATAACCTTTTCTATTGAAAATATTAATTATTGTTAGTCACTCTTGCGTCATTTTAAAAAGAATACCTACCGGGTTCAAACTCAAACTTTATTTGTTTTATGAAACAGCTAGGATTAATATAGTTTTCTATTCCATTGTCGCTTTTGGGACGAAGCGCAGAATACAGTGGAATCTCGATATAAAGAACCTCTATATAACGAAGTCCTTTGGTATAACGAACGATTTTCTTTACCCCAGTAACAGTAAAATATACGAAAAACAACCTCGTTAAAGCGAGGAAAATTTGCTAGTCCCTTGGGCCTGCTTTATATCGAGGTTCACGTTCCACTGTATAAACTAAAACCTAAAACATCTAGGGAAAAAAGTAGCTAATTTTATCCAAACACAAATTCTCTAAACTGATTTCTAGTTCTTGTTAAAGCATTTTCCCTTAGTTATAAACTCGCGTAACCTTTTCTATTGAAATTGTATTGCCGAGTGACACAAATGTTAATTTTTGTTAGTCACCCTTGCGTCATTTTAAAAAGAATACCTACCGGGTTGAAAAGCAAATTTTTCAGCTTCTAATATGGTATATTGCTCAAAGTTTGCTGGAGTAGCAGGATCTGCAATTTAAACAAATAATATCAGGAGATTTATTACCCGAGTGTCGGCAGTCGGTAAATATTTATCACCGTTGTATTCTTACGGCTCTGGGTCACTTATTCGACGTTTTCCCCTTTTTTCAGCTTTTTTCCTTAGAAAAAACAAACTACTATTCTGCGAGCTAGGAAGATCGAAGGGCCTCTGCTCGCAGGGTAACAATCTACAAATTAGCTCCGCAAAAACTAGACCGAGCCACAGGCGAAAAATAGACTAAACTTCAGGTTAAGGGATCAGGCTTAGTACAACATGGTGCCTTCTTGTGACAGAATTACAGCCTCATGCGGTTGAAACTGTTACATGGATTTATATAGGGAAGCAGCCCTTTTCTACATCCGCTGTACAGCTACCGAGCTGGCTCCAGGTAACGCTCAGGAAAATGATTATATTTATATTTAACTGCTATTTCATTTTCAGCCATAAACTCTACGTACCAAGTCTAAGGAAAGCGAACCCGAAATAGTAATATGAACGTGCTATCTGGGCTGTCTGGACAGCCAAACCAAATTCGTTCTTACCTGTACCATGGGAGCCTTGCCAAACACAGAACAGCAACAAAATCCCAAGAAAAGAACTCATTACTGTTACAGCAACTTATTCTTTAGCCCTTTCAATGCAACTGGATGGCAATTTCAAATCAAAGCAGCAGTAGCACTCAATTTATTTTCATTGCAAGGCTGTGGCTTCCCACGCTCTGACGCGTTATGTTGTCATTTAACACGACTTGAAAAAGCACAGTGAGAGCATAGCCAGACATTTGACGGAAATGCGAACAATGGCCAAAATTACGTATTTTGTTACGCCTGTCTTGATGATCGATACAACAGACGCTACATATGTATACAACTGATAACTCAGCCATTTTGCTGCCTTGTATGTCACTCTATGTTTACTTCCGTTCGTAGTTGTTCCAACACTTTTACCTTGTATGGGGATTTTAGGAGTAACACAGACAAAATCGTGGGAAGATGATTTTGGTTCGTGGTCAGGCAAGGTTGAATTGCGAAAGTAATTTGACGACGAATGACCTTGCTCTCCAGCATGACTACGCGCCAGTCATTCATCTTCATTCTCTAGCTCCATTTATTACATTGCTTGGCATCACAATTCAACAATTAATTTATTATAGCGAACCTGATAGTATCAATAAATACAATTGACAAGGATTTTTATTCAAGAGAAGATAGAATTATTCATTAGCGCTACTAATGACGTTACAAATTTCTGGTCCCTGCTGTGACTCAGACATTAAACCTGGCCAGTGTAAGAGTTTAGCCCGAGGGGGGCACTTGGGTATTTTTTGGGTGGGTATGTGCCGCCTGGGACTCCATATTGGCACCACGTTCTACAAACAATTTCCCCTAAAATTGAAACCTCGTTCTAGAATTCGCCCTAAAACTGATACCCCGTTCTAGAAATGGGCCAATTTTTTATACTCCGTTCTATGGTGCAAAGAGTAAAACAGTTTGTTTGTTAACGCCCTGGGGGGGGGTCCTGATTTTGAAGCTCCTGATTTAGAAAGGGGTATCCATTTCAGAGGCGTTTTTTAGAACGGGGTATAATATTTCGAACGCACGAAAGCTCCACTTTTGTAGGCAGACATTTGAAATTATTCAAGGACAGATTGCCTTTAAACATACGGTTCAATGCGTTAGCAAGCAAACTGTTGTACTCTTGTTGCACCTTAGAACGGAGTATAAAAAATTGGCCCATTTCTAGAACGGGGTATCAGTTTTAGGGCGAATTCTAGAACGGGGTATAAAAAATTGGCCCATTTCTAGAACGGGGTATCAATTTTACGGGAATTTTTTTCCAGAACGGGGTGCCAATTTGGAGTCCCGGGCGGCACATACCCACCCAAAAAATACCCAAGTGCCCCCCTCCCGGGGAGTTTAGTATGGGAAAGTCACGTTCGGCAACAAATTTTCGTCGTCTTTGACGATGTTTATCGTTAAAGGAAACAAAATCCAGCTTGGTTTCGATAAGAAATATCCCGAAAATAATCAACGCGCGCCAAGACAGCGTTAAACGTGGAAAAAACCGTACAGATGAGTTGTTTTATTTCTTATGCTGCGTCATAATGCTGTATGTAAAATTATGTTAAAATGTGTGGAGAGCAGGGCTTCATAGCTGTGCGTGAAACAGTGCATTTGGTTAAATTTATAGACAAAGGTTGCTCAATTTTTTTTTCGAGTGCTTATGTTCCGCTACTTAGTACTACAGGATACAAAGTACTAAGTATTCGTCCATGGTCTGCCTGGCTGCACAACAACAGAACAAACTTATACAATTTCCGGTTTGTGCTAATATTGGTGTGCTTTTCACCTTAGATATTCTGTCACAGGCTTGTGGGAAGCACATCCAAACTCGATTTTCTCTTTAGCAATTTCGGTTTTGGAGTATTACACAGCCAATAATGTTATGTCATGTTTCGGTCCATAGCGGTGCTTTCTGCCTAAGACACAGAGCTAGGGATCCGGTCTCAGTAGTACTAGCCTTCTTTGATCGAGTCGCTTTTTTTTTCTGATTTTAACCATTTATTGGAGTTACTGGACCAGGTTTTGCTCCCAATAGCAGTAGTGCCATTAAGGTATCATCCACCCTTAAGCACCCTCCCCGCGTTGATCGGCGCTAGCGCTTTTGCTTTTAATAAATACCCCCATAAACCGTACATTTTCTGAAAGCTTAATAGTTCCAGATTATTGCTTATTCCTTTTAAAAAATCAAAATATTACCCCGATTCAGAAATGGGACCGGTCTCGAATTTGTCGCTTGCTTGGCCGCTTCGCGACCTAAAAAGCTCGCTCCGCTCGCTTAGAAACTCGTGAAACTCGATTTCGCGGTGGTTTCAATGGGTTTTTCAGAAGCTTTGTCATCTTTTAGCCATTTTTCTTGATTGTAGTAGGAGCCCTTGTCACTCTCTGCTAATTTCGAAACCCACACTTTGCAAAACGATTTTGTCGTCTTCTTTCGTCTTGGAGTCAAGGACGAAAACGGATAAGCTCCTTTTTCTTCTTTGGAGGCATTCACTTCCAAAATCCAGGGAAAGACTCGGGGAAAGACTGTGAGCACTATACTTGTAGACCACGATTTCTGTCAAATTGCGTGATTAGCTATGACAGGACTTGTCAACGATCAATTAAAATAATTAGCATAGAAAAAACTTTTGCGCTCCATAAGTCTGCACAGAAAAAACATTTTTTTCTGGATTTTTTTCAAAAGAAAGCTCTTGATGAGCTCTAATTAATCATCTAAAAATTGAAAATTTCGAAAAATGATGGATTTTTACCCTGGATGATACCTTAATATATTGAAATTATGCTCAAAAAACATTTTAAAAACGCTCACTGCGAATTTAATGAACAATTTTCATGTCGGAAACGTATGTTTCCCATACAAAGTCTAAAAACGCCAAAGCCAAAACGTAACTCAGAAAGAAGTGTGACCTGGGGGAGAGCGAGGAATGATGGGAAGGAGGAAACCCAGCCCATAGCCTCAAAACGAGACTGAGAGTGCATTTCAATCCATTTCTTCACGACCTTCACAATAAGCTCCGATCGATAAGGCGAATTATTTTGGAAAGGAGACTGTTTCCCTATGAGCCCTATAAATCGATTAGTTTGCAATATTGCCAGTTGTGTTTAATTTTAATAAGCTCCCATTTACATATATGGAAGTGAATTTGGGACGCCGGTGGGGAAGCGCGATGACTTTCGCAGGTTAAAAAAAAGCCTGAAAGCATGAAAGTTCTTGCGAGACAGGTGATATTGGGCCAGCAGTTGTCTTCTGGTCTTACCACCTCCAATCATCGTATCAGTATCTAACTGCGCCGATCGACTCCCGTAAGAAAAGAAGTCAAAGAAGAAGAAGAAGAAGAAGAAGAAGAAGAAGAAGAAGAAGAAGAAGAAGAAGAAGAAGAAGAAGAAGAACAGTACCCATTCTTTTAGTGGACACCAGCGCACCAGGAAATTTACCCGTAGGTTTTCTTTACCGAGGGCAGTGCAAAATTTTCTTTCGCTACAGCTTTTCGCAAACATTTCGTGCCCGACACGGAAGGTGGCTCGTTCTTTATCTGTTGGCCAATCTTTTATCTGTCGGCCAATGAACTGACGAGTTTGGGGGTGAAAAAGGGAGTGTAAGGGTGTACCTGAAGTGCGATGTAAGCGAGGAGCCCGAGTTGGTTTTTGAGTACCGCCAAGAGCTCTCTCTTCCGCAAAGGCCTCTTAGCCTGCGTAGCTGGCGGTATTGTGTCGGTGCTATTAAAATTTTTGGCGGCGGAGCCGTGATCCAAAAAAGGGAGTGGGGACACCCAGCGGGAGCCTCTGAAGAGGAGAGATCGCCAAGAGCCACAATATGGCTCGTGATAGCGCTGATAGCGCTTTAACGGGTAAAATAAACGCGATTCTGACAGACAAATGAGTGCAATGACCTTTCGTGTAATCACGAGGCAGCTTACTTTGCAAGCAAATTTTTTAACATAACAGCGACCTGAAAATTATTAGTCCAAGGGTTATCTCTCTGAACCTAGACGTCACGTCCACTATTAAAGAAACTTTGTTGTTGTGAAAACCCTTGTTTGTTTAATTGACTAGACCAATACCTCCTCCCTTTGGAGAGTAAGGCGCAATAAGGATAGAGTAAAGACTATACTATACTGTTCGCGTACTGTGTTGTCTTTGTCGAGAGAGAATTCCAAATGGGTACGTGTTTTAAGCTGAGTCGAAAACATTTCAATTAAACCTTTTTTCGTGTTAAGAGTGTACAGTAAAAGTTAACAACTCCCCCCCCCTCCCCACAAAAAAATACTTATATAACATATAAAAAAATAACATTCAAGTCAACAGCTTTAAAAAAAAAAGGACCACCCCCTATATCATTCCTTACATATTTTTCAAACATGTTTCATATTTGAATATTTCGAAATGGTACAGCGACGCCTCGACCAAAAGTCGGACTCGCTAAATGCCGCTTCACGCAAAAGCCTGAAAATTCACGAAAATCAAATTTCCCCCCTGGAATCTGCACTTGACCAGTTGCTTTCGGGATTAATTCGTCTACTTTGCAATTCTCGTGTTGCTTTGCTTTCGTTGTTCGTTACATTGCCCCTTTCACTATAGACTACGAGTAGTCCCCCATTTTTCCTCAGGGATAATAGAGCGAGCGCGCTTGAAAATCACCCCACGCGAGGTCTACTTTCACTAAAACTCTGTATTTCTTTTTTCACTGTTACAGAACGCTGTTTCAAAGCATTGTTTGACTGTCGCCGGTTTCCCTAGGGTATCCCCTGTTCTTCTTGTCCCCATATTACTTTCAAGTGCCAGCTACGCAGGCTAGTGTCACCTTACCTCGTCTTTCCTCGTATACGAAATTTTGACGCGCCGCTTAGCCCTTTTTGTCAGTATAAAATAAAGAATAGCGATCTGATCTCCATAGTGTATATAGCCTGCCGACACAGACGTATTTCAAGTCGTCGCTTCTCTTCTTTCCAGACACAACGATCGGAAATACGTCTGTGTCCGCAGGCTACCCATAGTGTAGCCCAATGTATAATACATCATTTCGGTTCTCGATTTCACCGGTTACCATCCGTCACTTATCAGATTATTGTAGTTCAAGGCAACGAAACGTTAACAGGACAGTGAGTTGCACAATTTTCTGCATCATAGTGCAGTTTAAGTCAATGCCAACTCCAATGCTTACTAAAGTATTCCTTTAGCCAGTGCTTTAACTGGTTCTCAGTTCGCTTATAATGTCCTTTATTTTGTTGCTAACAGGAAGAAAACCATCTTCAGATGGAGCTCAGCCAATTTTCAAGCTTATCTGGTCGGGTAGAAGGGTGCGATAAGTGCTAATCAGAGAATGGTCAGGGGCACCCAACGAGGATATAGTTCAAAACCACTTAACATAGCATTGTTGAACGTAGTTTAGTATTCAAACGGTAGATATAGGCACATTTTTATCCCCTAAAAACTTTCCATCTGTTCGGATTTCTTAGCTGAAAGTCTAGTGACCCGAAAATTATAGGGAGAAAAACTTACCTTCTCGAAAATTTCAGCCAGGAAAAGGCTCCCGAAAATTCTAGGTGGCCTTTTTTACGGTCAGAGAGGCAGGCAAGCAAGAAATTGTACAACAAATGCTCCGAAAATTCTAGATCTCAAATTGTCTTCCGAACAGATATTTTCCCGAAAATTGCCGTTGGGTGCCCCTGAATAGTATACATGTAATTGGAGTTGTGATCCATAATTCATAGACTGAATTCAGTTCTTATTCTACGATCGATTATTTCGATTCTCGGAGCCATAGCACACTACAGTCGTCCTGGGGCCGGTTGCTCGAAGCCTGGTTAGCGCTAACCGATGGTTAAGAGGTATCAAACTGTATAGGTTTCCATGGTATTTAACGCTGGTTAGCACTAACCATGCTTCGAGCAACCCGGGCCAGGAGTCGTGGAATTGTAAAATTGAAAAAATCGGATGAATCTTCCAATCGGAAACTTATTACTACAACCATTTGGGTAAAATCGGACAATAGCACAGTAGAGTTGTAGAATGGGAGAAATCGGAAGAATCGTACAATCCGAGAATAATTACTATCTAAAAGCTATTCGGGTAAAATCGGACAACAGCAGACTACAATTGTAGAATAGTGGAATCGAAAAAATCGTAAATGAGATAATTGTCTTTAATACAAATTTTCTTAATCGCAGAATCGTAAAATTGGAGGAAATCTGTCACGGTGTTGCAAAATCGGAGAATGGTAAATCAGAAAATAGTATAACCAACACTTGTCGCACAGCTCTCTTTATTGAATCCATTTCGTGTAAAATTTAGAGTACTTATCGCATAATACAAAGAATAGTCTATGAGTTAGCCTGCAAACAAACTCTTATTTGGGCGAGCGAAGCAAGCCGCGCGAGAACGCGCGA